TTCCTTGACCATGTTATTGGATCCTCCCAATCTAATGGACCTACTGAATATGTTCTGTCAACCATGGAATTGTAAGGGGTCATTTAAGTCCTCAAGGCCTACCTCTGCTGTGTATAGCTCTCCAAATTAAAGCATCCTAGACAGATGGGCTGTGCTTGGACACATTGTCTGAAAGGAGATCCACTCTCTCTTTGGGTCATTGGCTCTGTTGACAAATTACTGTTGCTATTAGAAGCTTTGTCTGATATTAAGCTAGATCTCTATCTCTGCCACAATTACTTGTTCACGCAACTGGTCTAACCATGTCAGTTAGAGACCCAGCAGATGTAAGACTGCCTAAATGCCTGTTCAGAGTTAATTTTCTTTAGACTATTTTTGGCTTAGCCTTTTGTATTAATTCTTCCTGCTTCTTTGGTTTGTTGTTCAATAGATTAGGGATAACCAGGTTAAAAATGTTGAAAGAAAGTGGCTTAGGATTCCATATCATAGAATTCCATCATCATGATCATCATCATCATCACTGAGCTGAGGTGGCACAGTGGTTAGAGTGCACTACTGGAAGCTACTTCAGCTGACTGCTAGCTGCAGTTCAAATCTCACCGGCTCAAGGTTGACTCAGCCTTCCATCCTTCCGAGGTGAGTAAAATGAGGACCCAGATTGTTGGGGGCAAGGGCTGACTCTGTAAACCGCTTAGAGAGGCCTGTAAAAGCACTATAAAGCGGTATATAGGTCTAAGTGCTATTGCTATGCTATCATCATCATCATCATCATCATCATCATCATCATCATCATCATCATCAGTATTTTCTTATTTGTTGTATTTCACACTTCTTAAGCACCCATCTCCATCAGAGAGGGGCTCCTCTTTATCCTGTATAATGATTCTGGTAAGAAGCCTTGGATCAAATTTTTATTTTTATTTTGAATAAGATTCTTTCCAGGGAAGCTATCCTTACTACCTCCTAGGAAGATTGTACCACTTAGGAAAGGAAGAACATCACACATTTCCTCATGGCAGGCAGTGGGAGCCATTCTCTGAAAGAGGAGAAAATCTACCAGCATGAGATTGACTTAGTGTTGTATGTTGTTATTTTCCCATGATAACTATTAAGAAGTTGGTTCCATTCTACACACCTAGTAAGCATAGCCCTTTCCATCCTAATCCAATCAAGATGAATTAGTGTTCAAGCTTATAAATGCTGGGAGTTATTATTAACACATCTAAATGAAAATGGAATAGGAAAATCTTCCTGGAACGTTTGGAATGAATGGTGTTATTAGTAAAGAATGAGCTACCACTAGTAATATCCTCCCACTTTCTTCCTTTTTCTGTGTTTTCTTTAACTCCTCCTTCTGCTTTACAGTATGGTGTGAGTTATCCTTGTCTTCTGCGTCAAAACCAAGTGCTTCTGACAGCCCTAGAGGAGTTGCAGATGCGCTGTGCCAGCCTGAAGAAGGAAAACAGTCTGCTGGTAAGGGGCATGCAAGAGCTGAATACACTGTATCCAAATGTTGTTTAGCTAGGCAGGATTGACCAGTCTATGGCTCTCTGGATGTTGTTGGCTTTCATGGCCTATCAACCTTGGTCATTAGCCAAGGGTGATGGTGATGGAAATTGAAGTGCAACACTATCTGGAGATCTGTAATTGACAATCCTGAGTTACTGTACTGGGCAGCAAGGATGGTTTATTTAATTTCGAAGATGTTCCTTTGCAATGACATTTGAGGAATAAAAAGTGCTTGAAACTCTTAGTTCCAAAGGATGCAGACCAATGCTTTCAGCACAGGGCTGAACAAACTGTTTTGGCACTTGAAATAGAATATCTAAGCCATGCTACACTTCTGCTAATTAAAACAGGGTACTACTTAGCAAGCTTTTGTCCTGCCAAAGTTCCACTGAGTGAAAGGGCAAGATTTCCATAGCTTTATAATTGCAGTTAGAATTCCTTGCTGGCTGCTTGGTTCAGATCTTTCTCCCGTTTCTCCATCAATCTTAATTTTTTTTTAAAGTACCGCATTGCCTTAAGAGGCTGATGAACCTTGTACTGTAAGCAGCTGTCTTATCTTAAGCGAGGCTGTTGAGGCTGGAGGGCTGGACCCATCTGCTGATTGAAATGATGGGGAACCAAGCGACATATCATAGATGGGGTCAGGGTGAAGAAATGGATGAGGCCAATGGAACAAGGAAACTCTTTTTAAATGAATACAATTCATTAAGCAGTATTTTTGGAAGGGTTCTGCAGGCTGCTCCTAAGACTTAAGGTGAGCACATGAGACCCTGAGGCCTCAGATTCTACGTACATGCCTGCTCTATCTAATGCAAAATTCTCCAACCTGCTGCCCCTCCAGAGGTCTCTACTGCAACTAGGGAAAATGGCAGTTGCAATGCAATCCCACTTATCTGGAGATCATCACAATGGACAAGGGCGAAGTTGTCTGCTTTGACTTGAAAACTTCCTCCAAGATCTCAGACAATGAAAAAAGTAAGAACTAAGAAAGAATTAAGGAGAGATTTCCTGATAGTTAGAACAATTAATCAATGCAACAACTTGCCTCCAGAAGTTGTGAATGCTCCAACCCTGGAAGTTTTTAAGAGGTTGGGCAACCATTTATTTGAAGTGGTGTAGGGTTTCCTGCCTAGGGAATTTTTCATTTCAGGAATTTTTGTGACCCTTTGTGTACCAGTATGGGCTTTCTGAATCCACTGCTTTCTGTATGCAGGAATACATAATGCCATCCTCCATCCAACTCTCAGTCCATTGCAAGTGCATCCCACTTAGGTGTTTCCCAGTTGCAATTCAAAACTGCTGCTTTTTGACCTGAGATATCTTAAACCCTTCAGAGTAGACGGTCTCCACTGCTTTGTTCAAGTTTAGTAGCAGTTCCAGCTCTCATTGGCTGCAGTGCCTGATATACCTCTTTTCCCCTCCAGCGATTAGTTGCTACCCATTTCAAGCTAGGCTGTCAGAGTATAGGGTTCTCTGCTGGGTCAGCTGTTGGTTTGTTTATTTTTAATAATCTTGCAGTTGATCCAAAATGACCTATTGAATCAGTGAACCATCCTCCACTCTAGAAGCTCATGCTCCATTCAACCTTTACATAATCTGTGTATCTCCTGGTGTTAACCCTTTCAGTTTCTGCTCAGGCTGGGTGAAACATGCTATCTTGTTTTCCCATTGCCCATTCCCAGATGTATAGCCTCGAGAGCCATGGTGGCACAGTGGTTAGAATGCAGTATTGCAGACTATTTCTGCTGACTGCCAGTTGCCAACAGTCCAGTAGTTTGAGCTTTACCGGCTCAAGGTTGACTCAACCATCCATACTTCCGAGGTGGGTAAAATGAGGACCCAGATTGTTGAGGGCAATAGGCTGACTCTGTCAACTGCTTAGAGAGGGCTGTAAAGCACTGCAAAGTGGTATATAAGTCTAAGTGCTATTGCTATTACTCTGAAGATACCATAAAAAAAAGGGAAGGGTCTCTATGAATATCAAAGGAGATAATGTGAGAAAATGGTAGAGGATGGTGGTGAAGAAATCTATGTATATAAATATCTGAGAAAACAAAGGCAGGATACAAGGACAATTGAGGAGAGAGAACAATCCCTAAAAGAAAAAGGCAGGCACTGATAGGTAGAAGCAAGCCAGTAAGGCTTGACTTTCCTTCTTGGATGGGATTGACAAGAAGCATAGAAACAGCCAATCTGTTCTTGTGGTGACCATAAACCAGATTGAGCATATGCCCAGCTCCTTGATCAACCGATGGCAATCTCAAGATACATTAAGAACTGCCCCATTCAAATTACATTGACCCATCCCACCTGGTCAAGCAGGGAGTTCTGCATATCCCATCAATCAAGAAATTTCAGCTGGCAGGATCTAGCAGGAGGGTCTTCTGTGCTGTTGCCCCCACCCTTTCGAACTTCTTACCCTCACTCAGAGGTGAAGTGAAATCCCACCCTTCTGGCTTTATATATAAAGACCTGTCTTTGCCAATTAGCATGGGATCTAAGATGTAACCCTGGGAATGGCTTAAGAATATTCCTCCTGCCTTGGCAATCTTTTAGCCTTTTGAATTTCACTTTTATCCTGTAGGCTCTTAAGAACTTTGTTCTTAATTCTATTTTCAATTTGTGCTTTTACTCGTATGTTTATAAGCGGAGTCACTTAGATAGAATGGGCAGTGTAAACATTTAATAAATAAATCTGGAGTGGAATTTCTGAAGTTGCTTTAAGCTTAATAAACAGCTGGAAGATTTTAAATTCTAACTTAAAATGCATCATCCAAGCTGCTTTCTGTCCAATTAGATTGCCTTCATCACAGGTTATGACTCATGTTCTAACTTAAGCAATCATCGACGGACCATATCATACCATACCTGGGGGAGAAAAAGGTGGCTATACTGCCCTCCTTGCTGAATGAACTTGTTTTCGCAAATTGGGTCGCTCTCCAAAAGTAAAATTGGGTCAAAAAGGCAGCTCAGGTCTTTCTCTCTTGTTTTTTTGTTTTCCAGTGTAGGACCTGCTTCCCAGAGACTCAGGAGAAGGTGAGGCATTTGAAGAGGAAGAATGCAGAGCTGGCGGTCATTGCAAAACGTCTGGAGGAGAGGGCCAGGAAGCTGCAAGAGGCCAACCTCAGAATGGTAAGTGAGCCAACCCTGGGTGGCAGACGAGCCCAGTCGAGCTGCCCATATTGTTAGGCTTGACACTCCACAAAGGTGATCAAAGTGACAGTTTACTACAATCTTTTCGATATTAAAAAGCAAACTTTTTTTTCAAAATCAATGAATACTTTTTCTTGACTATCAGAATTATGAAGCCATACATTAAGTCTGTTATAACTAGCCTCCAGAGACTGACTCACACCCTGGTCAGCACTTCTTTACTCTCCTACCATCGGGTAGGAGATATAGAAGCATAGCAAGTCAAACGAACAGGCTGAAGAACAGCTTTTATTTGTGGGCTGTCAGACTCCTGAGTGCAATGTAACATCCTAAGTATGTAGTACGATAGACTTGTAGGGCCGGTGCAACATGCTCATATTGGTGCAACATATTATAATGTAATGTTACTCACATTATGTATAGAGGATTGTGTGTTGTTAGTATGATTTATTGGGTTAGGGATTTCTTTCTTTTACTGTGATATGTATTTATTTTTTGGGGGGGTAGTGGACTAAGGGAGGCTCAGCCAATCTCATTGTACACTAACAATAAAGGTTGAATTGAATTGGATTGAATTCTGATCTCTTGCTCAACTGATAATTACTGATTGATTTAGGGTTCTCATCTTTCACCCCCTTTCGCCTTTCATATGCGTATGCCCACATATTCTTTGTAGCTTATTAATGGTCGTTCCTCAAATGTGTTGTCATTTTTGTATGGAAGAATCTGTAGAAATCATGCTTGGTTTGCACGAAAATTGCAATTCAATCCCCGGAGTGGCCAAATGTGGTTAGGAAAATCCCAACCAGAAACTTTAGAGAAGAAATAAACTGTAACTCCCATCAACCTTAATCAGCATGATCAATAGTAAGGCATGATGGGAATCACAGTCCATTGACACCTGGTAGACCTTACATTGCCTGCCCTTGCCTTAGAAATAGGCTTTTAGTCAAGTTAGATAGAATGGAGCCAGACAGACCAATAGTTTGTCTCTTAAGTCAGCTTACCTTCTTAGTCATTTATTTATTTGTCCCAAAGATTGGCCTGTTAGACAACTGTCAGTCTTTTCTTGCTGTAGGTGAATGCACCAATAAATGTGAAGAGCTCCTGTGCAGGACTGTGCAAAAGAGCGCTGGCACGCCAACGGGCCACAGATCTCCAAGAACAAGCCAATGCACTCCTGATGAAAGACAAACAGATCAATGCTCTGCAGAGGGAATGTCAAGAACTTCAAGCTAAAATCATGGGTGGAAAGGTGAATGTTTACCACTGAATACACTCAGGCTGATGTTGTCCAGATGTGGTAAACCTCCATCCATTGTGAGTGAGCACTAGGATTTGGATCCAGGCCCATCTGGACCAGGATTATCACATTTTTCTGTCTCTGCTCCTACACTTCCAAGTGTGTCAGTACAGAAAAGTTGTCTCTTTATCATCATGCTCAGAAAAGCCTCATGGATTTTAGTTACTGTGACCAGAAGGCCATCTTCAGTCAGAGCACTGGCTGAGTATCTCTGATATCAAAAAATGTCCATTTAATATTCCAACTTTTAAGGGGATTTTTTTTCCAGATAACGAATATTGCTACATCATTCTCTGATAATGTTTTCCCAACATTCTATAGTTTGGGAAAAACCTATTCAGAATTTTGGGATAAAGAAAAAATATTCACTGCCAATAGGCAGTGCAGTTGTGGAGGGAGAGGTAGGTAGGAGGAGCAATTAAGTGCCGGAACAGATAATTATGAATTGGTGTCCATAAACCAAACAAAAGATTGGGAAACAAGGTTTGTAAGAACAACCAGAAGAAGATGCTGTTGACATGTAAAAGGTGGGAAAAATCTTATCAAGAACTAAAGGAAGCTGGACTTCATGCTCTGGACCAGTGTTTCCCAGTCTTGGCAACTTTAAGACAGCTGAACTTCAACAGGCTGGCTGGAGGAATTCTAGGAGTTGAAGTCCACCTGTCTTAAGGTTGTCAAGGAGAGATGTTTGAAAGTGAAAGAGAGGATGTAGGAACTTAAGAAGTAGGAAGATCAAAGAGACAAAGTGAGGCCCAGGTCACTGGCTGGTTTGAATGAGCCAGCTTAACTTTATGCTGCAGGTTTTCATGTCTGTTAATTTTTCTTTTCAGACTACTAGAATGTTATGAAATGTGCTTGAAATCTGAAATATGCCCCTTTTCACTATTAATATTATTAGGGATGCTGTGTTAATCAAGTTAAATAACTCAGACTTCCCACTGCTGCCCTTCAGAGTTATTGGGCTTCAGTTCTCATAATCCCCAGCCAGCACAGTTAAAGAGAGTCGAAGTCTCACAATTCTGGAGAACAACAGCTTGGTGAAATCTGGATTAGATTTGTCGTTGAAAAGGCATTTTTTGTTAATAACAGAATTTTATCAACATAGGTATTTTCTTTTTAAAAGCTTTTGTTCAAGTGCAGGCGATAGGTGTGATCTGAGAAGAGGGATTCTATCTTCTAGGTGGGAGAAGATAAATCACTCTTCTAAGATGTTGCTTGAAGACACAATGGCATAGACATTTACCATTTAAGATGAAACAAACAGTAGTTGGTCATTTACTGTGTAATATATTTCTCATATGCAAATATAAGCAGTTATCTCTGGTTTTTAAGCCACCTAAAATTTATTTAATCTGGTAAGTGATAATTTCTGTTTTTCTAGGAAGGTCCTCCATGCCTGCCTCTTCTAGATTTCCAGCATTTACTCCGAGAATCTCAGAAGGAAGTGCTGCGGTTACAGAGACAGATTGCTTTGAAGAATTTTAAGGCAGCCCTGGAGCCCTCTGGCCAGGGATCAGGAGACATTGCTGTAGATTTTGCAGTGGACTTGGGGCTCACCACATCAGCCAATACTACCTGCTCAAATGGTTTTTCTCCTACAAGGGTATCACAGCCATGGGAGGAACTGTGCATAGCAGTGGAGGAGACCAGCCAGGTAAATCCTTTGAACTCCTTCCAGTTTATAATCATGCATCTTGTCTACTTTTTAATTATCCACACGCTGGACAATCTAGAACAAAATCCACCATTCTTAAACTACCAGATTGCTAAATCCACCTGTGCTATCTCACATGGGATACGGAGTTTGCTGTTTTACTATTCCATTGGTCTGCTACAGTTCTGAAATAGTAAAAACATTCAACTGGAAGTGGGGCATATTTGAGAAAAGAACTGCAGGAGGAATGACAATTAAATATGTCATTCTCTTATGTAATGGTCTGCATTTCCTGTTTTTTTTATCTACTGTTTGTTTCATCCAGGTTGAAAGCAAAGAAAAAGAATCAAGTGAAGCTTAAAAGCATTGCCATAAACATTATATTTATTTATAACACTTCATTCCACTGTTCAGCTAAAAAGACCTCCAGTGTGGCTTACATATATTACCGAGGAGATCCTAAAAATATGACATATACATTCTGTATTCAGAGAACATGCCTAAGCAGCTACAGAATTATGCTATTCTTCTGGTGCTCACATCTAGTGAATTGGGTTCACACAATGCTTTGGACAGTTAAAAAAAAAATTACTCAGTAGTTTAGTTTGTTGTAGCTGCTAGGCTTTCATCTGATTAGATTCAACATGCTGACCAACAAAGGGAAAGGGGAGAAGTCAAGCACAGGTACAAGTTCATAAAATGAACAACTGTTAATCATGCCTGCTTGGATTGAAAAGAGATTAGGCAACATGACGGAATGCCTGCCATGTAGATAACCTTTTGGAGAGTCAAAGGTTCTTTGCAGTTGCTAACGGGGGTGAAGAGCCACCAGCATCTTCAGCATCAAGAGGGCGGTTGGAGTGCAACACAAGGCTCACCTCTTTTGTACATCTGTCAATATCACCTGCATGCCCCATCCATCATTGCTGATTCTGATCTCTCCCCCCTCCCCCCCCACCACAGGAGATGCTGCTGGGAATAGCCCCACATCTCTTTTGTTCCTCTATTCCTTGTCCAGATGGAACAGCTTAAAAATGGGTCCTCAGAATGCTGCTGAAGGAGGAAGAAGAGGAGCAGTTTCAGGTCTGGGTGGAACTGAACAATTTGCACAAAGAAAAGAACTGAGCTGTCCCTGGGTATATTAGACACTATCTGTTTACTAATATGTCTTTTGTAGACTTCCTGAGCAAATGATGTTACTTCATGTCTACATAAGCACTCTGTTCAGATGATGTGGGGTGGAGAACAAGGGGAAATAGGCTAAAAAGGCTGAAATGAACAAAAACCACAGAGAATTTCTTCTGATTTTGACTTTGTAGCATCACCTATGTGGGTTTAAAAAAAAAAGATTTTATAGCACTGCTAAAAGTGCTTGAGTTTCTGTAGAAAGTACAAAACAACCCTCAACATCGTGTGGGACTGAAGAAGAGATTCAAGGAAAGGGAAGTGGCACGAGATGACAGATGAGATTTATATCTTGATCAGTCCTGGTAATGCTTGGAGGATCAAAGGCTAAGGCTATGGGGTGTACTGGGAAGTGGGGGAAACATCCCAGAAAAAGTGTGACAAATCATGCACTGTTGTCAAGGGAACTACAGGGACGTGAATATATCACCAAAGTTGAGCTGAACTCAAGAAAGTTTTTATTTTAGCATGTGGCCAGGATTGTTGGGAGATAAGCTTTTTGATTCCAGTAACAGGCTCAGCAATTTGAGCCTGTCTCTCACAGGCTGCTGCATTTCTCTCATCACTAGACCATATTGTTGCCTCTTTCCCCTGCCCCATTGACCCATTAAATTATAGTGCCAATAGGTATAATACTCTGATTGACAGTTGTACCAGATCAGGAATTCCCGACTTAAATCTCACCCGAGCTAAAAATACTTAGGTATAGCAATGATGAGTCAGTGCTCTCTTCTTTCTTCCTGCTCTCTATTCCTTACATGCAAACAAACAAACAAACAAAAATACTTTATCACACTTGAACCTTCCTCGAAAATGTTGACTGAATGGAGAACGGGAGAGGTTTGGATCTGCGCCTTGTTTGTACCTCTTCCGGATCCTAGTTCAGATCCTGGAAGTTTGGGTGGTCAAGTCTGGGAGTTCCCACTATGCACTGAAGGGTTCCTTCCTCGGGCCGCAGCTTGGAGCTTTTCCCTGCCCCGTGCGGGGAGCTGCGTATATCCCTCCCTCTTCCGGACGGCAAAGTGGTTCAGCCCACCGGACAATCCACCGGGCTGGAGCTTTGCCAGCGCGGAGCTGTCCCTGGTGCTGAAGCGGAAGGCGCAGCCGGGCGGATAGGAAAGCGCCGGCCAGACGGATTTTGTACAGGCCGCGTCGCCTTTGGGTGGAAAAGAGTCTAGGTAGGTGGAGGAAAGTTTGGCTGAAAAGAGGATCGGGAGGTTGAACCAGCTTTCCTGGCGTTGCATTGGTGAGATACCTAATGTTGTGTGGCCTGCTTTGGGCTCCATATCAGAGTTCCATAAATTTAGCCAAGAGGGGTAGGTTTTAGTCCCCTATTGAGTGCATTACAAAGTATTCCTGAATATGTATGCAATTCTTGTTCCTTAAGAGTGTAGATCATCTTAGGAAGCTGGAGGTTGGAGAGAGGATATTTCAGGAACATGATCTCCAAATAATGTAAAGATGGTAGAATAAAAATCTACATCTGAGAAGCTGTTAATAAGGGCTTTAGCTTCTTCTATCAGTTCCCTAACAGAGCCTGTTTTTTGTTTTTTTTTTAGTATTTCCCTCCTAGAATAAAGAAGTGGCCAATCTATTTCACCTTATAGGCCCATTACCTTTTCCAGGGCAGTTCCTGAAACCACCAGCTGAAACCATCCTTCATTTCGGGACAGTGAAAGGTGGATTTTGAAGAACCATTTCAATCCAAAATAGAAATACTGGCTCAGATCTTGTTTCACACAAGGCAGTTTCCATTTCCTCATTCAGTGTTACAGTGGAAAGAGCCCCCCCATGATCAGAACATAAACCTTCTATCTATTCAGGAGTATCTATAATTTACTTGTTTAATTTTTTAAAAAAATATCAAATTTAGAGACCACCCAACTCACAGAGCTACTCAGAATGTCTCAATTATAGGAAAATAGAACTGTTGCAACTCGGGAGGAGGCAGTTTCCTTAATGACAGAAGAGGATTTTAATCAACTGAAACATATAATATTAGACAAATTTTCCTCCCACAGTTTTTCAGGTACTGCCAGATTAGTAAGGATTACAATCATAAACATTAATGTATACTTAGAACAGAACAGCTCCACACCCAGCTATCTTAGACTATATTTTCTATAATCCCAG